TGGGTAGACATCGAGAGCGTTGGGCCAAGTGGGGAGAGTACGAATTTCTTCCACCACAGGTAAGTAAATAGTATAATGTCAGGGTCCATTAAAAATATCCATTCGTGAACATTTTTTCTCACATTCTGACACGATAACACATTGATGATTCTCAACAGAGATGGTTGCACAATGCAGAGCATGGAGGAGCCATTTTCCTTTACCACCCGTGTCTTGACAAGGAGAGCAAATGCACTCTACGCAGAGTGATTCAAAAGTGGCAAGAAGATAAAATTGGAATTGTCAAGTGGGAGGGAGACAGGGAGATCGACAAGTTTMTCCCAGACGCTCAGGACGACGAAGATAAATTCAGATTCATTTTGACTCCATACAGAGATCTCTGGACTCCCATTTTGATCGTCTTGTGGGGAAATGTGTACTCGTCAGAGTGTTTCAACGAAGCCGAAATGGACGAATTCATTGCCTCCAACTACYGAAGGGCATTCGAGGACTGGCCACCAAATGGCGCCTACAACTACCTCTGGAAAGATATTGAAACCACTGCTCAAGATTGCCCAGCCCTCCCTCCGACTGCGCCGTCTACCATTGTGAATGCGCTGAGCATGTCCTATGGCACTTCCGACRAAATGYAGAGTCTTGCTGCCAAGATGGAGAAATTGGAAGAGGAATTGGCCGCCCTCAAGGCAGCTAGTAGCGCAGTCACGTCACATGCRAGTGTTCTTATTACCTTGTTTGCTACCGTGGTGGGTGCGCTAGCTCATGTGCTCGCCTAATTTTGCAAATTGAATGTTCAATCTTCCAATGCAATAGTTTGGAAAAAGATTCAATTAATGCTTATTGCTGAATTAGGTGTCTCCAGTCGTTGGCAGCAGCTYTGAACAACCACAACAGAACACAACAGTGTCTACAATAGGACGAATAAGCTAAATAATACCGATGGACTGTATCTGATCTTCCTACTATCTTCATCCCRAATCATCGGGACAAACACTACCGGGTGTTCAYGGGCTCTGCTTTCTGACATATTTTGGAATCGGCATCCGCATCTGTGTTKCGTCCATGTACAGTTCCAAAMCTGTTTGGAGCGAACAGACAATACACTTGCTAGTAGAATGAATCACCATCTATTAGAAATCCCATTCATATTCATAGTCAGCCCATACACCACACTGTCTTATCCTCAAAAATATTTTTCTCCTACAACACCACTATCATCTGGACGACTGATCCATAGCCTCAGTGCAYGTCTTTTTTCATATTGTGTGTCACTTTCTCAACCATATGGATGAGGCAAGAATCAAAAATAATGATTCGTCCGTTCTCTGGATTCACATCAATAAAATTACAGCCATAATTTATTGGGTCATTGGCATTCCAAAATCTGTGAGTATTGGGGTATAGCCGAATTGCACCTCTGTCTTCTTCGTTCCAATCATCATTGCAATAGTGTATACATGTATAATGTCAGAAGTTTTGTCAGATGGAATCATTATTGTCAATATCATTAACAAAGCTCTTAGTCATTGAGTTGCCACTGTGCGATTTATAAAAGTCATTCTCTCCATATTCTGCTAGTTGTACAAAATTGGGAATCGTCATTGGATATTCATCAGTGGCAGGGCACACTGGCATGTGCAAAGAATCCCGGAATGATAAATTCTCATTTAGAAATGCCCATCAAGATGTCATAACGCTTGTATAGAGAAAGATGTTTTTTTGTGAGAAAGCAAGGAACAAATATGTTATGGCGAGATGCATTCAAGAATCATGTTCTTACTTCTTCAAAGCCAAAAAGTCTCACCTTGTCTCTATCTGTCCTTACATGCTCCCCTTGATATGTCTTTGCCACCAAATATTGTGATATTAATATTCACCCATGCTCTGCTGACTTCAGAMCAATGCCAAGAATCAGGAAACCATTGTTAGCTAATTCACTTGGTGCGCCTTCTTGAAACAAATCTTCAATTTTTGACTGCCAGCTACGACAGCTGACCTTGCTTCAAAGCAATGATAAGGTGGCTGTCAATTGTAGTGATCAACTACTGCTTCAAAAAGATCAGAAGTATCCACTAGATCTTGAAATAGTGCCTTGTTTTTGTAAAATGTAACACAAATCCAGCCAAGAAATTCTTCTCTTCCCGATGCCTCCACACTAATAACAAAGTCTGAGGATGTTGCTCTATTGTCAGGTTCAAACATTACTACTACTTTAATGTCACGACCCCGAGCAGGTACAGAGCAGATAGTTTTCTCCTTTTCTAATGGATCAGACTGTACAAAAAATTCACTCAAATCCACCATATCTTGAAAGGCTGCTTGTGTCAGTTGCTGAAAATCAATTTTGGTATTCTGAAAAGACTTGAAACTTGTCATGTAGAGAGACTCTTTCCACTGGGAATGCAAAGAGCCAGGGAAAAAACAAAGATACTTCATCCTTAGTGTGGCACGTTTATTGACAATGAAATGAAAGGTTTGTCAACGATAAAAATTGGAAATTGTTACGTACATAAATTTTGTCCTGCGTTGAATCATGTTCCCTTTTCCTTTCAGCATTTTTTTGGTCCAGAGGCTGTTGGTTCTGAAGGTGCACCCTTGCCATGTGAGCCACCTGATCCTCCCAGGGGTTGTTGCAAGGATTTGGTGGTACATTTATGTCCATCAAGAGATTTGACAACCACACCAGTAGCAGGCAGCAAGAATCCAATCTCTTTTTTGGCCACATCTACAACAAAGACAACCAAATTGAATTGGAAACCAGACGACAAAACAGGATCCCATTTGTCATGAAGTATGTTGAAGCAACCCCAACTTAATATCAAGAAATACATGTTTTCCAATCCGATGTTTGATTTGTAGCAACTACTACTGGGCAGATCAACAGCAACTGTGCAAGAGTGAATGAATGATGTAGATGTCTTACATAGGCATAAATTGGCAACATTGTTGATGACAGTGGCACAGAGTCTCCTTGTCTTGTTCTCAACTCTTGACACATTCACAAACACACATTTGTTTTTGGCAAAAATCTTGTAACATAGGAGTATAGGAAGAAAGAGGTTGTAAAATGAACTGCTGATACTAAAACCTAAGAGGTAGATCTCTTCATATTGCTTCCCTGAGTGATGTCAAAAGAGGGCATTGGTAACTATGTCAGCAACATCCTTGTTGGCTGGCATCATCCTCCATGTAGTAGAAATCTGGCATGAGAGGCAATACATTTGTTCCTTAGGCGTAAGCAGCGGGAAGAATCACCAAATCAGCACCCCTTAGAAGATTGGTCCTTGTAAATTGTTTTAATACACCWTCAGTACAGATTATCAACCTAATGTTGGAATGAGAGAACTAATCAAGATGCAACAATTTCATACACACTTAAACATACTAAGAGTACATGTATTTCGTGCACAAGAGATGGTCCATGTCTTGGATGACAACCTTGAGAGATCAATTGGGAAAATCTGCCAATTTATCCAGCGAACTCAAGTAAACATCAATCTTTTMATCGTTGTCATATTCTTCAAGCTGAGTGAAGGATTCAGAGGTTCTCCAAAAGAGTCGTGCATGCGTCAAGTCTTCCTTCCAGCGATTGGACCAATCCATTGGTGACATACATGATACAATAGAAATGATACCAGTTTCAAGATGGTTTGGACAAGGAAGAGTTGTAATCCAGGCTGAGTACAATTCACCCAGTATTTTCCAGTGACACACAAGCATGAAAACAGTGGGACGTTCTAGTACTAGTAGCTTCAGCAGATAAATGACTCCACCAGTTTGGTCTGATTGGCTGGCAGTGTCTCTGGGAGGGACAAAAAGGAAAGAGCAATCCTGTAGTTTGATTTTAAAAAGGTGAAAACACGTCAAATTTGAGGACCAGAGAACCTGAATAATGCATGAGACGTAAGGAGGCAGAAAATACTCCAACTGTTTCCATCCTGTTCAAGTACTTAAGGAAACCACGAAGTACTTCATTGAATAACTTGTTCTTACTGTTTCTTACTTCGTCTTTTGACAGTGAGACAATGTCTGCTGGGTGTGGAAGATGAGCAGACATTTGAGAACTTGTGTTCCCAACATACTTCTTCCACCATGCACAAGGCAATTGTGACAACAACTTCTGGTGACCTTCCTTGAGAAATTTTCCTATAGTAGTAGTAACCACACCACCAGATGCCAAAAAGGTTTTTGAGTGTTTCTTGTCCGACAAGCACTTCAAAAAATACAAAGAACTGATCAATATACTAGTCGTGGTTGGCTGTTCTTGTTAGTTCTTGGGAGGACCGATCAAACCAAAATGGTCCTTCCTCGCAACCATCAGGTGCTGGTSGGTATTCTACATCGTTCATAAAAAGGAATATTTTTTACGCATGGTACGGTACCAAAATATCCAAATAACTGGTACGCTCCCTCGTAAATCAATGTTTCCGGGAATGAACCAATGGTGAAGTGCATCCCTTGCGCGTTTCGCGCGATATTCTACGATTAAGAACATTGACGTCATCGTTCGGTACTACTTCGGTACAAGAAATTCTTTCAAGTACTGTTGGACTTGGCGTAACGTACAGTACGTACCAATATTGAGTTCATCCAATTTCGAGGCACCGTACGGTATTGGCAAGGTATTCGGAGTACGGTCCATCACGGTAGGGAACATTCAACTATTACTATTGCCTAATGATGAAAGATATGAATTGCCTTCCGTTTCTTCTCCCTTGTTTTTTCCTCCTTTTGAAGCTGACGACTTCAAATTCCCATGGAAGAAGCAAAAGTGCAAAGTGACGAGAACATCGCTGTATTCTTCTTCCGTTCTACTTGCAGTTCCTCTATGCYAAGACACATCAGACATACTGCTGAGTATGATATGGGACAGTAGGGTACAGTACAGTACTCTACTGTRTAGCACAACATCTGGAGAATCTTGCAAACGGTACGAGCACGAAGGAGACCTTGCTGGTTGTAATGGAACATTTTTTTCCATGCCTTGCATGCCAACCATTCAGTTCGTGTAAATGCCATGGGTTGAATTAGTGAATCTTTTCCGTGTCAAATCATTGCTACCGAAGATCGGTTTCTCGTTCTTTGTTACCGTTCCTCCCATTGGCTGCATCAGCCAGACATCGTACTTTACATTACACCACTTCAGATCACATCAAATCATATCAAACGAAAGCAGCCACAACACAAACGAAAACAAGAACAAATACGAAAAAGAAAAAAAACAACAATCATCGCAATGAAAGAGATACTGCTCATGCCATTGCGCCTAACTTTTGTTTGCGTGCTTTTGTTCTTGGGGTTGCTTTCAAAAGTAGCAACTACTGACGCCTTTGCGGTAATTGGGAGAAAGGGGCGACGCTATCCGATTACTACTATCACTGTAAAAACAAAATCAACATACAATGATTACGGAAGAATTTGTACGGAATTYGGAAGTACGATTCTAGAACGAAATCGGAGAGATACGAAACGGTGGAGCACTCGCTTGTCAATGTCACAAACTCTCCTCTCGACAACATCGACGGCGCACGACAATAAAAGAAACCTGCACCGAGACGAAAAAATAACCATCGAGATCGACGAACGTCTTAGGGAAGAAAATCCGATTCAGTATATTTCACAAGAGGTGACTTCGAAAATGGACGCAAACGCAATCCTGAAGTAAGCTTGTACCTTTCGAATCAAAGAGAACCAAAACAAAAAGTAAAAGCTTGGAGCAACGGAGCTCTTCCCTCTGTTGGCGACCGTTGCAAGATTACATCTCTGACCGAGCTTCTTTTGCTTTTGACTTACTCTATTCAAATTTCAACTCAATGCAAATTGCGTTGTCTGTGCGTGTCTCCTTCCATGGCCTTTTATCCAACGCAAAATGCTCCAGCACCGGAGTCGTCGTGGCGTTTGCCCTCCTTTCACTGAACCAAATGGCTACCGTTGACGTGGGCATGATGCGGGGCTGGTCGCTGGAGGAAATCGCCCTCCGCATTCCCCTGGACAACTGGAATTCGTACAGCGCTGTGCTGAGCAAGGCTCCAATCCCCACGAAGGCCGCAACCAGTGCCACCGTCTACGCGATTGGAGACTTTATCGCACAGAGGGCGGAGGGCCGAACRATGGGAGAACTGGACCGACCTCGCCTCGCGAGGTCGCTCCTCGCCGGGCTCCTTGGACACGGACCGATGAGCCATTTTTGGTACGAGGCGAGTGAGAATGTCTTTCAGAATATTCTGCATCTGCCCTCTAACTTCTGGGGAACGGCTGCCAAGATCGGGATCGACCAAACGATCTGGGGGCCTTTCTGGAACAACACCTAYATCCTGATGCTTGGAGTGATGAAGAACGGTAGGGAGACGTCCTTCGAATCTATCTGGGCCGAGATGAAGCGGACGACCATCCCACTGATTGTCAGCGGCCTGAAGCTCTGGCCCCTGGCGCATTGCGTGACGTATGGCCTAATCCCGGTCGAGAACCGGTTGTTGTGGGTGGACCTAGTCGAGATCKTGTGGGTGACCATTCTGGCCACAACAGCTGCGGCGGTGGATCCCGAGCCTACGGGTGACGAAACCAAAGCGAGGGTGGATTGAGTCCATTGAATCCCATCGGATTCGATTGGACCCAACATTGATTACAGTGGGATCGATGCATATCCTTGCAACCAGTAGTTCCACGATACAGAACAAATTATTGCTCGGCAACGACAACTGTGCAAGCGTTGCTCTGTAGCTTGTCGGAACAACAAACATTGCTACTTTACACAACACGGATTGTGTCTGACTGTTAGAATACACCATAGATGCTAAGCTACAATACATGTACTGATGAGACTCCTCGCATAAYAATGATTGATATTCTCTTCGAATAATATTATTGTACCGAACTCGACTGAAAACTTAGTCACTGCCAAAWACATAAATTTAGAGGGTCGGCGCYATAGACAGTATTAGTCATGCTGACAGTCTATGTCATACCTAGTGACGACCAAATGCGAYATCATCGCTTCTGAATAAYTTCCCCGAATGCATCAATAGTGCCATGACGATGAATGACTAAATACAAGTTATTGCAATCTACACGGTGCGTKTATGGCATATCGGGACCTTCGCTCTAACGTGCAGTAGTAGTTTTTGTGACATCAGTGAGCACTAGAGCTCTATTGGAAAAGCATGATCGGTATCTCTGACGGAACATGAAACAATCGGCRAAGAGACCAAGAAATCACAGGAAGAAGAAAGCACACATTCGCTCCATGGATAGAATACTACTGGTAGCTGCTATTCCTGCGAATACTTGCCCGTTGTCTGGAACATACCATGTGACAAACTTYAGCGCAGTGGCACTCAGAAAAAGCGCTGCACGGAAAAGTATTTTGGGGAAAGAACCCAACTGTGGAGTTCCCTGCCTTCTTTAGGCTGTGTTGCTAGCACATGGATGGCAAGATAGTTCTAGTCGAACGGRCAGGAAAACCGAACTGAGACAATGCAGGAGAAGAGAAATGGAATTCGTACTGTAGAATTCTATTCTTATAACATCCGAAACGTGTTTCGGAAAAGTTAATGAAGTTACTGGAGCTCTTGGTATTTCTTGTTCAGTTTCTTCTTTTGTTCGATCAACATTTTTGAAACCAGGATAAGTCGATCCGATAGATCTACCGTATTCAACGCTTGGAGTCGGAATTTYAGCAAGGAACTGTCAAAGGTATTGTCATCATTTTCCTCCCCCCATAAGTCTTTCGAAAAGTACGCCCAGCTCAGAGCGGTCAGGTCTTGTATCGACCGCGTTTTAGCAGTGCTGGTCTTCGATGGTATTGTGCTGTCGATGCTGTTGTCGAATAAAGAGACAGTGTATCCCTGCGTATCGGACRCTTTGGCGGTTTGAAATGCMYTCTGAAATATRCTTCTTGGGCCACCATCACCAACTCCAAAGTCATCTAAGTAGTCGTCGTCATCGTCGTCTTCTTCTTCGTCGTCGTCCAGTCCGAGTTCCGCCTCGAGTTTCATTCGTTTCAAGGTTGCTTCCGACAGCACTTCACTGCTCCCACTTTTCTCGAATGCTTCCTTCTGCTGTTTTTCTTCTAGCGATGAAATCTTTTCTTGCAAGGTAACAATCGAGTTGAACAGGACTTCGCATTGGTTGGCCAAATCATTGTAKACGTCGATTAAGTCCTCGTCCCGACCAATATTGGTTGTGTCGTCCGACAATTCCGTGCACCACCCCTTCATAAAGCCTTCCTCGATCCCTTCCTCGGGCTCCTGGACGTCGAGGAGYTTCGCGCGCCCAATCACCCTGATGGTTGCTAGGATACTCGTGTTTCCAAACCCCGTGTCACCCTCCATAGTTTGAAAATTTTCAACCTCGCACAACGGCATGAACTGGAGCATTCCACTCGGTGGTGCAATGAATCCCATGGCGACTGAGAAGTTTGGTTAGATTGGTATTGATTTGATTGGATTAGATATGTTCCCGGGCAAAATCCAAAAAGATGTGAGAAATAGTTGGTGGCCGAATAGTTGGATAGAGTCAAACGTTTCCGAGAAAAATATCATGGAGCATATTTGCTAACTTACCAATTCCTGCGTGATCGTCAGTAGCCTTCTTGAAGAGATTGTGGAAGCTGTTGGTTCGAAACCGAAGAGGATTTAGAGACGAGCAAAAGTGCAATTGAATAAGTGCGTGCTCAAAGAAAAATCATGCAAGAATTGGCAAGAAGCAGAACGCTMAAGTCAAATTAAAACCGTGACACGCTGGAGAGCCCTTGTGGCGTTCTGTCTTTGTGGAATATGCGTGCCACGTACCGTTGTTCGTAGAGACACAATTCTTTCGTCTCACCCTGCACCAATACATCGGTCGGGGGAAATGGAAAGATGCAAACTTCTCTCACAGGTTCGCCGTCACTGTCCGCAATCAGCTTCTGTGGTGCATTGTCGAAGATCATATCCCTCCATTCAGAAATATGGGCGTCCAGCAAGAAGGGATCGCGGTCCTTCTTGGCCGATCGCTGATGTCTCGTGGAGAGAAAGGCAGCGGCTACCTTCGGCAGCGACAAAAATATTAGTGCCCCTCGAAATACTTTCATTTTCGTTCCTGTTCCGTGTCAAACAAGCAGACAGTTCGCAGGGTGTCTCTGTTGCCGAAGAATGTTATGAGCCGTCGTCGGGAATGTGATTCTTTTCGAAACCTGTGTAGTTTCGTTCAACACTATATGGCAGCCCGCTTGTATTATTTTCTGCGGATTGTGCGGTCTGATGTGGAAAACGAGTTCTTTGGGATGTAACACAAATAGTTTATGCTTTKGCTATCAGTTAGGGTTGCGGTATTTCGACAAATACCAAAAATTACTAAAATCTGTACTCGCAGTATTGACGATACTCGATTTCACATCTTCGAGCTAGAGACGAATTGATGACGTGCATTTCCCGAACCAACCATCAATTTTTTTAGATACGACTAGTTCGAATCAAATCAAAAGTGACCGAATTCTGCTAAGAAATGCTAGGAGACGAAACAGTAAGGACCAATAATCCTTTTTTGATACGCCGAAAAGCAATTGCAATGCTACCTTATTGTTTAGTTTTGCTTTAATTGTTTTAAAAGATAATTGTCAGAGAGCTCACGGCGAAATAGTGCCGTTAGAAAACACTGTGAATCGTTCGCAGTGCCCAACCAAACCATTCGCSAGGAGAAAATATGCGCGAATGGGGAGGGAAAACAGGGAACTGTTCCAGGGTGCTTTGTCGCGAACACCAGRACTTCCATTCTCTCAGAACATCTTTTTTTAATAYCCATATCAATGGTTGCATACTATTGGAGCAATGCGTGCCACTTTTTTCTGAAATGGCCCCGTTTTGTCTTGCCATATTCTGTTTTGCTTTGTTTTGTTTTGTTTCGATGTCAGATTTACAACGAACCGAACATGAATTTCATATCTAGGTAGTACATTGTAGCGCGGAGAGAATGGTCGTGCGCTTCCYCGAGAGATTTTATGGTTCCACTTCACTTTTAGGAACCCTGCACTTCAGCTCTCCCAGCGTGAGTTGTAATGGACAAATTTTAAGTGTTCGTTTCATTCTTTATACGTGCACGGGGATAAGGGTGTTGGTCGCAGCAACCACTGCTGCCGTGCATTGCGGTTCCTTGCCGTATTGTGATAGGAGAGCGGCCAGAGTGGCAGCAGCCAGGGGCAGAGATGGGTTTGGCACCGGCTTGGAGGCGGGACTTGCTGCCGCTGAAGCGGGAACAACGGAGGCGGCGGCGGTGCTGCGATCGTCGTCCGTTGTCATMGCCGAGGCATCGCAACACGCTGCCGACTGTCTAGGAGACTGAGGTACCGACATGGGAACACTAGAAGCCGCTGCAGTGCTGGTTTCTACGATTTCTTGGAGGGCCCCCGCGACCTGTGCGCTTTCCTGAGTATCCTTCGGAGAGGTGATCGCTTCTATGAGACGATCAACAATCAATTCCTGAATATCTCGAGGGAGAAGACTCAAGGCATCTGATAGACGATTCATKAGTTCTGCTCGGGGTCGATTCTTATTTGCATCATTCGGATTCGTTGTGGACGAAGAAGCTGAGAAAGAATAATTGTTACCCAACATCATGCTGTCGGTATCAGTTGCCAAATCCATCACATCCAGGATGTCATCTCTCTCTGGTAAAAGTGCCGAAAACTCCGAGGACATACTCGATTCCCGGACTGACATATCGCTTTTGATATTTGGTGGCACCGCACTGCAGGGTGCACGTGCATCGTTGTCAGCCGAGTCAAGGGGAAACGATGGTAAGGGTGGTAATGGCATCGACAACGCATCGTCTGGYAGGGCGATTCTGGAAGAGATCTCGTCCGGGACACAACCTTTTGTTGGGTTAGATTGGAGTTTTGTAGTCTTTGCCCTCTTGTTGTTTTCGTTAACTAGGGGAGAAGTATCAACTGTTTCGGTCTTCATCTTTTGAGCAATCGAAACATTCTGAACCATGGTCGTCAACAAATCAATGTTCTTGTTCATGGCTTCAATACGTTCTTTCAAAGAGGTGACCTCCGACTTCAGCTCAATGTTTTCTTTTCCTATGGATGCAGAAGAATCTACACCATCTGGAGTGGTCATCTTTCTGTTGTTGTTGGCACCCATTGTACCGTTCGCCTTTTTTGTTCCCGATCCCCTTGGTGTGCTGCTCGATCGTTTGATTTCTTGGAGCCAATCGGGCTTGCCTTTTTGAAACTTTGGGTGATAAAATCTCCAGTAGTTTGCGGTGGCAGCTTCTAGAGCGGCATCGATTCGGATCGAGTCGTTGGTCTTGATTTTGCGAAAGGCGTAAAAGTTAAGTTGTCGGACAAAGGAACTGAATTTCGAGTGCTTGAAAAATTGAGGAATGATTTCCTGCTCAAATTTCTTCGGGTGCTTCACGATGAATGTCTCTCCATCTTCAGACCACGAGCAAATCTCTGGATTGCAGGTATCGACCATGTGGTAGGTCTCTGTTGGTTCGCACATTGGATAGTTATAACATGATTCCAAATCATAGTTTTCATCAAGTTGTGTCCGTAAGAGACAAGGCGCGACAAAACGAAAGAGACACGAGTGGAAAGGAGTATGTAGAAATGACATGTGTGAGAAGTACTGAAACAAATCCATACGAAATAGTTTTCTAGCAAAGACAGTCATCTCCAGCAAGATCTGTCTCCATTGAMYGCGAATATCGCTCGGTCATTCATCTTCTGTCCATTTGCCTTGGCGTAATTCTTTATGCCATGATCGGTCATTCTCGTGTGTCTCGGGATCTCTATGACGAGAGGCGGATTGACTCTTTCGACATAGTATGCCTTCTTATTAAAACGCTTTATTTCTGGTTCGGTCATTCGTCCCCTCCGTCCATCTTATCCACGAATGAACCTCGTATCTGTCACCTCTAGCCGTATCTAAGAGGATCTGAATTTCATAACCCAACCATGGYATGGGACGAAAATTACGCACTACACTTCAAATATAAAATCAATATTTCAAGGACAGTTCCACTTGTTGCAGGACCATGGAGAGGGATTGATGAAGAGGGGACTTTTCACGCCGGGTCGTGCGGAAAACTTGCGAAATGCATTCTGGTACTCGGAACTCGTGGGATCCTACACAGATGGATGCGCGGCTGAGGCCATAAAATCAACAACTTACTTCGTAGGAAGATCGGAATGTCCTGGGATGCATCGTTGACYACTATGGACTTCTTCGGGAGGCTTGAAGCATGGGTGCTCATTGTTGTGTTGCTTTTGATGTTGCTGGTTGTTTTCGTTTCCGTGTTGCTGTTGCTGTTGCTGCTGCTGCTGCTAATGGCCGAAGTCATGGGATCGATTGGATGGAGGCTTGTTTCCGTCGTTGGATTCTGAATAATGACGGTGGAATTTCGAAGATTTTTCTGTAGCCATGATCGTACGAGATTTTAAAGTCAGTGCTGTCCAACGGTGAGAAAGCATTGCAAGCTGGCTCGCCAAGAAGGAACGCGCAGTGCGGCGGSCGACTTCTGTTTGGTGTCTTGTGTGTCAGCTGGGTCGCACGGCATGTGCGCGCATGAATGCGCAATTCTCATCATTCTGAGTGTGTTTCAAACCYAAAATAGCCTATCAGAACTATCTTGGTGTGATGTTCCGACCGGTAGTATTTCAAAATGAATCCGAAGTACACTACTTATGGGTAAACTTTTGACTCAGGGGTACGTCATAGCCTGCGAACCGTCGAATGCGATGACTCTTTTAAACGCATTTTGAGAGCTCGAGATTGACTCATACGTACCGGGTACCGTACTGTCATACAGTAGAAGTAGATCGGACAGGTACCACGTTCGTACCTTACAGTACCTGGTACCTCGTACTTTATTGCGGAATTCAAATCCGCGGGAAATAATCGGAGTATGCGTTAAAATCGAAAAATGTCATCGGAATCAAGATAGAAGAAGGTTGAACAAGGAGTGGTGGAGGGGTGTCAAAATGTAGAGATTCTGTATTCCTTTTACATGTGTTGACGAAGGTAAAAAAGTGAAAAATCTCTATGGAATCTSARWGTGCAAGAAATACGAAAAGCAGACTAGGAACGGCTGGTAGTAGGACCAAGTGCTTGATGTCCAACTCTGGCAAACAGGAGCAGTTGGACCAACGGATATATCCCCCTGTAGAATGTGTGGTGCAAATGTGTGGAAGAAGTAGTAAAAGCTTCCAAAAAGAAGTAGGTCTTTACTAGTACTAGTAGTACCGGTATGGCTTTCATAAAAATTGCACTCGGTCATAACGAGACTAACAAAGTTCTACTAACTCAAAGTTCTAAACTTCAATTAAAAGTTATGAAGTTCAAATGTCCTGGTACAAATTCTACTGTGTTCTACATGCTATTTTTCAAAGAATCACTCACTGGCATTCATGATCGAAAGTCTGGATTCATTATTGAATGACCTCAAACCACCACTCAATCATATAGTACTGGTGGCACCATTCAGTCATTTCAAAAAAAGCAGCTCAGTAGAACCTGATACTAGTACTAGTAGTACTACATGACAAATGAGGAGCAATAACAAGAAACTTCAAATCAAAGTTCATAACTGTAAATTAAAACTTCTTTGTTTGTGATGGTGGCCCTTTGTGACCATGTGCAATTSTTATTAACCCTGGTGTAGTATCTGATTTAGTAGTTGCACCAGACATGGACAAAATTACTAGAGAGTTGGGTATTTCTTTGGTGGTTGTTTTAATACTACTACTGCTGTTTGCACACCAGTTTTCTTGTTTGGGCATTTCTCACTGTTTGATTGGTTCAAGCACATAGACTCTGTCTGTGTTGTACCAAACAATTGGGAAATACCCCCATTGGACTTTTGAACATTTCATTTTTAGTTCATTGTAACAATACTAGTACTACTAGTATTAGTACTACTACTAAAACTATTTGTGCTGTTGATAGTAGCACTACTAATACTAGTATTTTACTGCTGGTGAAAAAAAAACATTATTTCCAACATGACCAACATGAATACTATTTCTTAGAAACCAGCTTGTTAGAAGTTGTTTTGGATGTCATGTGAATGTTAATAGTATAGTATGATGCTGATGATAGTATGCACCAGTGTGTTGTTCCTTTCTCAGTAACAGTAGTACTTGTTACTACTATTTTATTTCTTGTCTTTTTTCATTTTGCAATAGCAATAGTTATGCTACCACACAGTCATRTTTCCTTTGTCTTGATTCAGAAGATATCTCAATCAACCACCCCCAAACACATTGGTGTCATGATGTTTCCTTGTTCTTGATTCAGAAATTCTATGTCAGCTTGTAGGACCACTAGTAGTGAAGTGKTAACMATAAAAACAAGCTTTTTAAAATCAGATTTGGCATCGTCCTTATTGGTTTTAGAGGCAATGCTTCTCTTAAAACACTCTATTCTTCACTGCTATCAATTGTAACCATTTGTTTTCCAGAATCATCTTTTCCCTGCTTCAATATGCTTTCTCTGCTTTTCCATGTTAACACAAGCACCATCCTGACAGCCAATAAATTTGCTTTTTGAATGTATTTTTTTATGATCTTGGAAACATCACAACATTTTTCTCAGTACATAAGGGAGATTTGCAGATGTGAACTACTTGAAGGCAGCAGGCATTGCACAGAGCATGGATACCAAAGAGAATCTGTCACTTGTTGCTTTCCCTCCCAACCCAAACTTGTCTATCTCAAGCTATTAGTAGTATGATGATTGTGYAGTAGGTGTGCCTTTACTACTACCAAATTTCAGACACTTCTCTAGCTCCTCCTGATTTTCCTCCCCTCAATACTTTACTGACTACTATTACTAGTAGTGCCATGACAGCCCAAAACTAAATGAGGGCATAACCCTCCTCCATCTTGTGCACTAACCAGCAATCATATGATATTCAGCACACATAGATTCTAAAATCTAGAAATATGATGATGGGGACAGCCTCTAAGCTAACTTCTTTCTAGCAGTGAGATTGATAACACCCCTCAGGTATGGGCCTGCTGTGCTGGCCTCCTGATACTAGTCACTTATAGTATGCTTCTTGCCTTCACTCTTGCTTTTCTACTAGCATTAGACGTTTGATAGGCTGTTATGGTGATGTTGGTTTGAAAATCAAGCAGCTTCTTGAGGGACTGGATTTCTAATTCTGGTGTTTGTGTGTTGTTCTGCTTTTCCCTCTTTCTCTAGTAGTACTAATAGCTATTACTACTACTACTGGCACAAACCTTGCTATTCTCATTAGTACTACTACTAGTACTACTTGGGGGTTACCCTTGATTTTTCTGTTTGAAAGTAACAGCCAGTAGTACCAATCCATATAGCGTCCTCCTTCTTAGCACTGCCAGAAGTGATGGTTCTAGTCTTCCTAGCACATAATATGACTATTTTAATATCAAACACTCGATCTGCTTCACTGATGCGAATGCTGTGCCTGCTAGCTTCCGAAGAGCGAGACAAGAAAACCATGGAAGGAAAGTGGACGATGACTTCTTGTACATGATTCCTCGAGGCAATCGGCATCGATAACACCTGTGCCACGCAACTGGTTGTTTCGAAAGAAATTCTGTCAAGCCTTTGGCTGTGATTCTTCTGCTTCTTGTCCAGACTTAGCCTGGTTGCAACGAAAATCACTGGAGCACGAAATGTCAAGTGGCTGGTGTTCAATCATGCCATWGGTTGGAAATAAACTTTTCCAGCATCCTATGACGTCTAAGAACCATTTTTGTACCGATACCGATGCAGCGTTTCCCGTATCGTTTTCTTGTTGACATTAGGGCGCAATTATTTTCTTGTCGAAGGACGAAGTGCTACAACCATGTCTCTCGTTTATTTCTCGATTCTTGCTGGTTCTGCAGAGCGTATCATATTGATCACTGCGTGCTCATCACGGGTTGGAACCAACGGCGTCCTCTGGACGAGGTAGGGGATGCGAAAGATGTGGCCCTGGTCGAGGAAAGGCCTGAGGAAGAAGATAGCGCATTAATTAGTATGTTGATTTTGGATTTTTCAATGTTACTTGATTGAATCCAGGATTGAATTGTGTTACAAATCCATGTCTTTAATATCGGTCTAGAGCATGAGACAAAACACTCCTGGAACGGTTCCTTCTTAGCATGTTCCCACAAGAGACTGTATTACAATTTCGCACCTTATGTTCGTAGTTTTTTTTTCGCATTCGCACTCGCACTCGCACTCGTGTCGTGCATCGTGCATACAACGTTTTCAGGGTGGGGTCGTTCTTTGCTCCACTTCTCGATCGATCGCTTCGATGAGCTGCTTTCGGATTTCGGCATCCGGAATTCCAAATGCAAGAGTTACGGATTGTTTTTGCTCTTGCAACGACGACGACATCTCGTTTTGTTCGTATGTTCCCGTCGTTGTCATCCAGTCGGCAGTGGTTCTGGCRGCAACCTCGATCGCTCGTTCCGTTGGAAATCCTCGGCAGCCCGCACCAAGGAGCGGACACGCAATGTAGACGTTCTCGTGGTCCTGCAACGATGGTGTCGTCGTTGCGCTTGCTTCCGCGGACGACGACGACGACGACGACGCAATTTCCAGAGAATTGCGATAGCATTCGGCAAGCAAGGTTTCGCTGTTCTCTCGATCCCGAGTGGTTGTTGCATCGAGTTCCTTCCGTCGGGTGGTGCCTGCTCGATTCTCGTTGTCGAAAAAGGGAGGAACCGTGTGCACCAGCCGCTGGTATCCGCTTGCGGCTCGCAGCTCCGGCCCGGCGACCCTTGTTGCGACGGCCACTCCCTCCCGGAGGCGACCCCTGCGGTCTTTGCAAGCGTTTTTATCGCTGCCCATCCCCGCTCGCAACAGGAGCCGCTCCCACCAGGCCAARGGCGGCGACAGCTGCGACACCGCCCGTTCGCATTCTCGTTTCAGATCGGTGCCCCCGTACCGGTGGACGATCCCGTCGACCGTGTTGGCCGCAAAGGCCATTCCCTTCCCCACCTCCATCCCGCCCCACGACGTGACGTACCCCATGATGGGGTGGGAATCCTTGGAAATCTGAAAGTGCTCGGGGGGCTCTGGTCCACCGATAGGAAAGTAGGAAAACCTGGATACCCCCGACAGAGAGGGATTTCCTGGATTGAYAAGAACCGAAAAGTGTGGCAGGGCAGATCTCGAGGACGAAGCGAGATYKCCGGGGGGCTCGTCGCTGGGTTCTCGACCGCAGCTATCCTTGTGTTTGTCTTTCCACTCGTTGCGATTGGTGTTCATGTTTGTTACGACACATGTTGTCTCCCAAACCTCGATGGAACGACGCTGGMGTGGGTTCCTTGGAGTATWGGTGCCGCGTGCCACATTCGTGCCTGATTCGATCGTTGCCGAYGTCCAGGAACGGATCCGCTTTGGAAGTCTGTTGGGTTTGTACCACGCGGTTGACATTGCTGTTGTTGCTTTTACCTTTTGTTTCGGTTTATTCTTTCCTTGATTTGGTTTTGTATCGTTTCGTGCTGAACGTTTCTTTCTCTGCTTTTTTTGCTTGCCTTCGGATTGGTTCTTTCGTTGTGTCTTCGATCCATAAGTTGCCGTCGTTGCATCCAGTTTCGGTTCCTGTTTTTGTTCTTTTTTTAAAAGAATCGCTCTGACGAAAGAATCCGTGGCAAAACGCTTTCGCCAGTCGAGTCGAATCTTCGTTCGAAGGAAAAAGAAAAAAGGGTCCCCTGCTCGCCAAGAGGTAGACTTCGAACAGTGTAACCAGAAGAAGCCCTTTTAGAGTCTATGGCGATAGTGATGACAATGGCAATGTCAAAGGTAGTGGCAATGATTGCTGAAATCGGTACGGTGCTGWTAAAATGCCACCGAAATATCATCGTACTCTTTCCTCGAGTTTCAAGTTTGACGCATACCAATGTTCGTCGTCTCTGTGAGGGTAAACCTACTCACACGTACCGGTACGAGTACTGGTACGTACCATGCGTACATTTCGCAGTCTCGTCTTCAACACGGAAATAGAGAATGTTCTTATCTCTGTATCGTATGTATGAGGAATACTATACTACCCATACCGCCTTCCTCGTCCCATTTCCATCGACTGCGAGTATTCCAGTCGAAAAAAACCTACGGTACGAGTACGTAGTACCAGTACGCGAGTATTTTTTTCTTTTCTTGGCTTGTGCACTCCCAATGATTCATTCGTTCCAGTACTGTAATTTGTGTACGGTACCTTGCATGCGCGACACGATCTTTTGAAATCCATCGTCGTTTCTTAAAATCTTTGAATAAAATCTGACGGTGGTGTTCCACGGGCGGCTCCGGAACGCCATCAAGTTGCGACGATCTTTTTTTCCCTAGTCGTTCGCGTAAGGTACCGTACGGTAGTAGCCTACGTACTTACTCGTTGGTTTGCCTTTGGTTTCGTTCCTTCCTTCCGACTTCGTTCGTGGTGCACCTTCTTGTAGCACAATCGCACTCGTACGATACTCGTACTGTTCCTGACAGGTACCAGCRCAAAAGAGCACCGAAGTCCCACCCACTAGTCTCCGAGTTCACCAGCGGAACCGCGATTCTGCTAGACAGACCTGGAACGCAAGGGCGGAAGAAAAGCACACGAGGATCTGTACCAGGCATTGCGATTTCGAGTGCGAGGCAACTTCTTTTCATCCCGTCGAAACAAAACAAGCGCAACAACATACCGATACGGTGTGGATTGATKCCTTCGCTGCCATCGCTTCCTTCTCCACTCTCGCGGTTGCTGYTCATGGCAGTGTTGGGACAACTGGCATTGTTTGCGAAACAGACTTCCTCTTTTGCTGGCCACGTTTCCGTTTCCCGGCGKTTTTTCTCGCGGCAGACGGGCGCACGAAAAGCGATCCTAGGTTCCCGCTTGGTRGAAACGGTGTCCGGTTCCTCCCTGGCGTTTGCCCCGTGCAAGAACTCGCACGAACACAAAGCATCCTACCGGAGCGCTTCCTCCCACCGGAAAATGGCCGACGAAAAAACGGTCCCCGAGCCGCCCGTTGCCCGCCGCGACGAAACCGGCTGCGTTCTGGCGGGGAGGCTCCGGCCCACCGACAAGATCTACTGGGCCGACGAGAAGAAGACCAAGCCGCTGATCCGCCAATCGATCGGATCCGAGGAGCCGCTGCTGGATCCACCCGTCCAGATCAGCGATCCCTACGGCTGGATGCGAGACGAGAGCAGGACTTCTCCGGAGGTTCTGGACCACCTCGAAAAGGAAAACCAGTACACGGAGGAGATGACCTCCCACCTGGGGGATCTCCGCGCCGAACTCTACCGGGAAATGGTGGCGGGCATAAGGGAAACCGACCACACCGTTCCGAGCGCCCGCACCAGCGACGGCTTTTTCTACTACACCCGAACCTTTGCGGGGAAATCTTACAAAAGCTTTTGCCGGGCGCCCATCTCCGAAAACCCGGACTGGATCGAAACCTGTCGGTCCTGGGACGGATCGGAGGACTCGCCGGTTATCCGTGGGGAGGTCGCCTACCTCGACGTGAACGCGCTGGCGGAGGGCAAGACCTATTGCGCCACCGGGAACGTCAAGCCCTCTCCGCTCCACCCCGGAGGCCGGAGCGAAAGCGAAGGCGAAGCATCGCAATCCCAATCGCAACTCCTTGCCTACACGGTAGACTTCTCCGGAAACGAGGTGACCGAGCTGTACGTCAAGGACATGGATTCCGGGCTGCTGGTGGACCACGACCCCGATCTGGAATGCTACGGCACCATCCAGTGGGGGGCCGACCAAACGACTCTGTTTTACGTCAAGATGGACGACCAGAAACGTCCCTACCAGGTCTACCGTAAAACCATCGGAAGCGACAAACCCGACGAGCTTCTCTGCCAGGAAGACGATGAATTGTACTGGGTTGGCCTGAGCAAGTCCTTCGACGGAAAGTACATTTTTGTCTCGTCGGGATCCAAGGAGACCTCCGAGACACATTACTTGGATCTGCTGGACCCGGCCGCGGAGCTCAGGTGTGTGGCCAAGCGCCGGAAAAAAGTCCTTTATAGGGTCACCCACCGAGCTGGATACTGGTACATTACCACCAACATGGGGGGATCGCCGAACATGAAGCTCATGGTCAGCGAGGCGGTAGCCGACTCGCAAGACCTGTGGGAGGATCTGAAAGTGAACGGCGAAAAGCTCTTCGACGGTGGATACGAGCGATCCATCTCGGGGATCACCTCCTTTGGGTCGCACTCGGTCGCCACCGGACGGGAGGACGGATTGCCACAGGTCTGGATCATTGCATTCGAAGACGAATCCTCGACCGGCGTCCGTGATTTCGTCCGCCTCAAGTTCGACGAAGAGGCCTACGACGTCGGCCTTGGAGCAAACCTCGATTGCACCTCGGATTCCGTTGTCGTGGCGTACGACTCACTTGTCACACCCCTGAGCTATCTCCGGATCCCGCTGGACGCTCCTACCGATCTCGGGGCACGGACCATTCTCAAGGAGCAGTTGGTCCCTGGCTACGACAAGTCGAAGTATTCCTGCAAGCGTGTCACCGTGAAATCTCGCGACGGAGAAACCGAAATCCCTGTCAGCATCGTCTACCGATCCGACGTGATGGACAAGGTCGCCAGCGGTGCGACAGTCCCGACCCACCTGTATGGGTATGGATCTTATGGCGCCTGCATAGAGGCCTCCTTCCGGGCTACCCGCCTAACCCTCCTCGACCGGGGAATGGTCTATGCCATTGCCCACGTGAGGGGCGGGGGTGAGATGGGCCGGCAGTGGTACGAGGAACCCAAGGGAGCCAAATATCTCTGCAAGAAGAACACCTTCAACGATTTTGTGGATGTGGGTCGGTGGCTGATCAACGACCAAAAAATCACAACCTCGGATCAGCTCAGTTGCGAGGGGCGGTCGGCCGGGGGATTGCTGATCGGGGCCTCCATGAACCAAGCTCCGGGCCTCTTCAAGGCGGCACTCCTTGGGGTTCCCTTTGTGGATGTTGTGCCAACCATGACCGATGCCTCGATTCCMCTCACGGTTGTTGAGTGGGAGGAATGGGGGAATCCCAATGAAGAAAAGTATCACAAATACATGATGGAGTATTCACCGATCAATAACGTGCAAAGTGGAGCAAGGTACCCCTCGTGCTTGCTGACCGGTGGCCTCCACGACCCGCGGGTCCAATACTGGGAACCCTCGAAGTTCGCGGCAGAAATTCGGCACCGATCCGACTCGGCTAACTCTGGCCCCTGCTGCCTTCGGATCGACATGGCTGCCGGCCATTTTTCCGCCAGCGATCGCTACAAGTACCTCAGGGAACTTGCCTTTGACTATTCCTTTCTCTTGGACCAGCTCGGGCTCGTGGAATAGGTGCTGTGGTATGCCTGAGCAATTCGGTGACAAAGAATGGTACAAAAACTAGCTATCGTGTGGATTCACTCTTGCCGGTGGCCTAGCTAGAAATCAACACAAACAACATTGACGTATTATAATCATTACGATGTTGTTTATACTCTAGTGATTTTCTAAATTTACTCTTGCTGTTATCATTAGAATGTTCAAAGGACCTCAATTTTTCACACACCGGTAGGAGTTTGGTTCTAAATTCAGGCACCGATAGGGATGGTCAGGAGGCGAAATCAAAATTGATGAACATGAAAGTCCTTACACAGATGAGGTCCTTGCAACAAGTACAGTGCAGGGGCTCAGTTATGAGTCCTCAGGACTAGACCTACATAACTACGTAACTATATACCTACATATCTTCATACATACATACCACATTGTATAATGCCTACACAAGGTACGTCAGTATTGCCGACCTGTCTACAGCCATTGATGCAAATACTTTGTTGTATCCTGCTCAACATGGGTTTGCTGATAGTTCAACCACATATGGTCATATAAATCTAGATTTACATGCACCCAAAACTTAATATTCTGAACACTATATTCTGGCAAGGTCTTGCTTTCTTTGAGTTCTTCTAAACATAATTAAAACATTTTTCTTGACAATTCATATTCACCATTGCTTTAGTACCTTTGCAGCTGCTCCTGCTATCAACCAGGAGCACAAAAGAGGACAGACACATATAATGAGCATAATTGTAAACATAGTATGAGAAAAACTGAACCTGGTACTTCATTCCAAATATATCTACATATTCTTTCTCTTTTTGTGACAAGTAACAAATTGCTTGTCTGTCCATGTGATTCCTCCTTGGAGCTCATTCATTACATTTAGCAGTGCAGGTGAGGCAGAGGAAGTGACACTCAACTGATTTTATTGTAATGCAAGGTCCTTCTCTGATCTGGACATTGATCTGAGAGATGCTCTTAACTGTTCTGACTGAATTTTCCAGTGTCCATTGTGTCTCCCAACATTGGCTACAAGTAACATTGAAGAAGAGAAAAGAAATTGCAAAATGGTTCTAAGAATCTGCAAAATGTAGAAGAAACAGAGCTGTGATTCATCCATATGGACAATGTTGTTAATTACCTCAAGTTGGTGCCAAGGTCCACTGGCCAGAGTGGTTTTCAGAAGGAACAGTCATACCCAATATTATTGCAAAGTTACATACATCATCTTTACATCAGAGAGGCCGCTGTGTGCTTGTTTGTCTTTGATTTTTAATTTTCTTTGGCTTCTCATATGGTCTGTTGTGCTGACAACACAACCTGGAATGTGCTTCAAATTGCACAAATCAGATAGATTGGTGGTGATGGTGGCTCCACTTTTTGTAGGGGGGGTTTGTTGTCATATTGGTACTATTACTACTACTATGCCTTGAGCTAGTAGTTGGGTGGAATATAGTGAGATGCAGAATTACACACTTTATTCAGACTGAGGTATTGTTAGATCATATGGAATAAAAACCAATAATTGGAAAGCAGTTCCAAATTTGAACAAATATCTCCCCCCAGAGCAACCCAAGCAGTAACATACTCACTCTGAAACTTGCCAAGCAATAGGGGGGAGGAATAAATTGTTTGTTTGGAATAGAGTGAGATACGAAATAATGCAATTTATTCAGAACGAGGTACTGGACCATGTGAAATAAGAACCAATAATAGGAAAGCAGGTCCAAATTTTGATAAATACTGGTGCCTTGAGCAACCCACCAAGTAGTAACACACTCACTCTGAAACTTGCAGGATATATGGGAGATGTGGCGATGAACAATCATGCAAAGTTAGAAGTAGATTGATTGTTTCTCTTAGTTGCAATTAAAGTGACAGTGACTKGAGGGAGAGGTGCATTTGCTGTGTTTATGTGCCTGTGTTGTGGGCATTCTTGACTTGTGTTTTCTTTGTGCTGGTGCTGGTGTGTACTATGTGGTGCTGCATCCTGTTTGTGCTGCAAGAAGGGAGCAGCACCAGCAAAAAACCCGAACACAGCAGTTTGTAGTACTCACTACTACTACTATTAAGAACATCCCCACTAGTAAGCAGTAATGAATGTTGTCCGGTAGTAGTAAGCGCTAATATTAATTCTCAACTACTAAGCAATGAAATTACCTCTCCTGTACTAGTAGTAGTAAGGACCACTAATAGAAATATTTTGGGACCAGCAATAAATTAAATAATTTGAATCATTTTTTAAAATTGTAAAAACGACCCTAGTAACATTCTGTAATTCTCTGTTTGGGGACCAGCATTTCAAACAAGCTGGCAGAATTTTGATTCCCAGTAGAAATATTGTTGAAGGAAATGTCTGGACTATTCCTTTAGTCCTTCTGCTTTATTGGTTTATTCCTGCATACCCAGAAGTATGTAATTTTTGGCTGGCTGGCTCGTTTTATGTATCTCAAATACACAGATTCTGGTTACCGTGACTACAACCAGGATCTGTGTATGTGAGGTACTAGTATATATTCATTCTTGGAATCAATTCCAACAATCCATGAAAATTCTCTGTTCAAAGTGGTCTRTGAAGATTGCCTGTACTAGCAATTCAGTCCAGTGCCACTACAGGCAACAACCCGGAAGAAGAAGAGCACATGAAGATCCAACAAAGTGCCAAAAACTGAGGGAGATACCTGTCTACAACTGTCCRTTTGCAATAAAATATTCCATCCCTGGCCTCAAAACAACAACCAAACCAAGGATTCTTCTCCAAGTGAAGATCACCCATGTGAATTTGCATCACACCTGTCCACTGAACACTATCTGTTACAGAGTTGCTGTATGCAGATCAGGATCCTACACCAACAACTTGGAAGGAATGAAGGACATTCTCTCTCTAATTCAAGTGAACCCAACCATGGCCACCAGTGATCTCCGGCCATTCCTTTCAAGGCACTTCCCCCCACATACACCATTGACAGCAAAGGCTGTTAACAATTTCCAGCAGAAGGCAATCAAATATCTAGCAGTCTATGGCAACAAGGAGGTTACAGAGCAAGAGGCATCACAGCTGCTTGGAAATTCAACAACTGAAGAGACCATTGCAACTGACTCCTCAATAAAAAGGAAGGAAGTTGAGAAACTCCTATCAAATGTCATGACCAGGGGTGACATTTGGACTGTTGTGGATTTCTTTGACAAAATGAAAGAAGCACAATGACTGTTTTGTTATGCACTGAAGAAGAACAGCTTGGGTCAACCTGAAGCAATCATGTGGAGCACAGCAGAAATGCAGAGAGACCTTCTCAGGTTTTCATCTTGTTCTCTCTTTTTGGATATGCGGAAAACTGCAACCAACAACATTGGTTGGAACTAKTTTGGTCCCACAGTTTTGGATTCTGAGATGAAGGTCAGAGTTGTTGTTGAGTGCCTCTGCTGTGTTGAATCAAATGAGATGTATGCTTGGGGTCTATCAAAACTGCCAGAATTTGAACCGAATTACAGTTTGGAATCAACCAGGTATTTCTTTGCAGACCAGCTAGTGTCTGGAGAGCTGCTAGAAATGCTGTCCATCACAGAGACTTGCACATTGAGAATTGATCATCATCATTTGTTTCAGAGAGTTTTTCCAGATTTCTTTGGTGCGAGACTCTGGGAGCAACAACTGCAGCCTATCATGAGGACTATGCATGGTGCTACTAGGACAGAAGCCTGTTGGAACCAGTGCCATGAACAGGCGGTGAGAATTGTCCAGTGCAACAACTCTCATTTTGAGTACCTTCAGGGAATCCACTCAAGGCCAGAGATGTATTCAATGTGGTAGCACAAAAAGTTTAGAGGTAATCTAAACCTTAGAAGCTCTGTTCCGGCGGAGCAGAATATGCACCAAGTGTCAAAACATTTCTTTGCAGGGGCGGAAAATTATCTCTGCTTGAAAATGTAAAGAAGCTTCTGGACCGCCACATTGAGCATGCCAATCAAAGAAGCCAGAAAGCAAATGAACTATTTGTAAAGAGTACAACATACAAATCTCCCCATCTTGGGAACCTCAAGTTGATTGACTCTGAAGCAAAGAAGAGCTTGTCCCATCATGCCTACATGATGCATCAACAGATCCAAAAAGCTTCAAAGTACTTGGAGTGCAAAGTGGAKGGTGGAATTGTGCACTGTTTCCCAGCTGACAGAGATGAGACTTCCMACAGAGCAGTATCATGGGTTGAAGGTCAGAGGTGCAATTGTTGGCGGTCACATGATATGGATTTCCAGTGTCAACATGAACTGAAAGTGGATGGGGAATTTCTGGTACACAAATTTGGTGATAGGTGGTTACAGGATTATCAATACAAGAAGCTCCATCCATTTTACTCCAATCTTCATATTTCTCCTGAGGATTTACCAGTTTTGGGAACAGCCGTCTCTGATGATGTTTGGGGTGATATTGAATTTGGTGGTGGTGCTGATGATGATCATAATGAGAATGAGAATGTCCCAACAGCAGTCACTGACTCCAAACTCACCTCCAGGCAGTTGTATGCAGTGGCTCAGTCAAAATTCAACACCTTGTGCAGACTCCTAGATGGTAACAAAAGGCTTCAGCTCTCCTGCATTTCAGGTTTGGAACAATACATGGAAAGGGGTCCTCAAGAAGTGTGGGAGTGACTGTCCTAAAAGAGATGTAAAGTGTGTGCTAGTAGAAAAGTGAGTC